TGCTTCATATAGGGATATAAAAATAAAAAAATAAAAAGAAGAAGAAGAACACTTTTTCATATAAATTCGCAAAACAAAATATTTGGACAAACTATTAAAAATTTGTCATTATTTCTAAAATAAAAAAATTGAGAATCAAGATAGATCACAATCTACCACATGCCCCTATATTTCATTATCATTTGATTTAATATTTACTGTCTTGCTTTTACATTTCTCTCTCTTAGTGGTCAAAAATAAAAATGGTTGTGAGGATAAGATTGCTCTTTACCACTAACGAGTCAAGTATTTTCCCTCACTAAATTTATGTCTGTTTTACTAATATTTTATAATAATGTCCCAATCAAAAATAAAGAGGAAAAATTAGTAGTTCAAAATTACTAAAATACCCTTTATTAGTAGACTCATAATAACCTTTCAAAAGGTAGATATAATTTAAAGACATGGTGAACTTCAAAATTAAATATGTTGAGAAACATTATGAGTCTTAGATTTCAAAGGCAAAGAGACATGGACCACCCTACCTTCCATTTGTACTAAATTTTTGACCAAATTAACAAGGGACACTTGCAAATATAGCAAAAAATTGTAGTAAAATAAGTAAAATAGCAACCACATTCAGTTTTTTCAAATATAACATTTTTTTCAGAAAAAACGGAGGTCCAATTATAAAATTACAAATTCATCTTTTAATATATCTGTAATATATATGACCACTGATATATATCTCTGATATAATAATAATATACAATTGATTTACTTCGGGTATAACCATGATATCTACTCAACTTCTAACATGTCTTACCACTAATAAGTATGATAACCATTGATTTATATATCTCTGATATAACCACTAGATCTACTAATATAACTACGATACATGTGTATTGATATAATATTATTATATCCAATATTTTTTCGGATGAAAACAATGGTGCAAAAAATTTTATTTTTGCAATATAAAGTTATTATATAAAAGGTTTATGTGGACCATGTAAGTCAAAAAGACAAGTTAAAATTTTGATATACTTTATAAATTTAGACAGTTGATATCTCTTATATTTAGGATCTAATTAATATTAATATTGAATAAATAGTAGTGATATAGTAATTAACATTATTAATAATATTAGTATATTAATCAACCAATTGAAATGGTAAGCTATAATGAATTTAAACAGCTGGTAAACTAGAATTTAAACAGCTGATATACCACTAAAAATTAAACATTTGACATACCTTATATTTAGTATATTAGTTGGAAATATATTTAGTATATCATAAATTAGAAATACATCAGATATATATATATTATAGATATAATACGTACAATTGATATATATCAGTGATATATCTGATAATGTATATCAGAGTTACATTAGATGTACATTAGATATAGATTGGATGTAAATCATATACAAATTTACAGGATTTATATCAGATATAGATATACATTAGATATATATCAAATATCATAGGGGTAAAATTGAAATAATAAAAATTTCAAAAATAAAAATTCAAATATTTTGCTATATTTGAAAATTTGAAAAGCTGGTAACATTTTTTGAAATACATGAAATATTTTTGGTATCCACTATAATTACTCAATTAATAATTACTGTAATACCTATTTTCTGGTTTAGGAGCCCTTTAAACTTGAATTTATAAAGTTTTAAGATTTAAAAACCTGTGGTTTAAAAAAGATTAAAGAGTCTTAATTTGTGTAGCACACTCCTGTCTGTCATTTCATCACAAGCATCTTTTTTTTTTTTTTCCTTCACTACTTTTGTATGCACATCCTTCTCTAATTATCTCACCTTACTTTACTTACCAGGACAATTTATCTCACTAGTCCCTCTATTTATATATTTTCTCTCATTAATATGTTCGCGCAATACATATTCTTTTTCTAACTTATTTCTGCATCCATATTTTATCTCACAACCTTTAATGAATATTTTTTCGGTTCAAACAGCGCTACAGATTTAATAATTCCACGTCTAGCAAAATTACTTAATACATTAATCAATTAGAACTACATTCAACTTAATTATTAAGTATTCTAAATTTTATTTTAATTAGTTGGAGAGTAGTTTTAAAATGTTGAAAACTTTAGATTTGGTGTTTGTATCTAGTCATTAAATTTCAAACATTTTTCAATCCTATCATACTCCCAACTTTATATTGGGGAGGTTGAGTAATATATAGAAACAAGTTTAACTTAAAAAGAACCATAAATGCTTCATTAGAATTGATATTTCACCCTATCTTAAGATTGATATTTGTTGGTGGCCACAATTTTTCTTTTATAATAATCTATTCAAACATATRTTTTGATCTTTCATATACATTGTTGAACTAAAAAAATATCGCGAGGTTAAAACGTCTAGAAATTGACGCCTAATTTTAATTTAGAGATAGATATGAAAAGTTAGTTTGGTTTGGCGTATGGGTGAATGCATTGAATTTGTTTATCTTTAGGTTCGCTGTCTTTTTTAGCTGCTTCGCGCGGCAACGAACGTGATAGAGTTCAATATTATTGAATAATAATAGGAATCAAAGCCGAAATTGTAAACTTGTACGAAACATTCAATTTTTTTCAAAAATGCATTTTGATTGATTCTGTTATGTAAAATATAAATTAAAAAGTTAGCTGTTAGGTTTGGTTTTCTTGAAAACTTCTTCAATTTTACTTCCAGTAGATTTTATCAATTTCAATTTGATTGTTTAGAAAGTCAATTTCTGATTAATTTCTTTTTTTTTTGTCGTTAAATCAATACAATTTTTTTTTGTTACTTCTTAAACATTTGTTATGCTCCCAAAAATAAGTTAGTAACATTCTGTGGTCTATATTTATTATTTTAGTTGAATTTTCAATCATCCCTCCCTTTTCAAATTCAATAAATCAAATAGATTCAATAAATAGATGTTTGACAAATTTATCTTTCAAATTATTTTCAAATTCTATCATCCAAGTAGTAAAAATTCGTTTTCATTGTTTTTAAATTTTAATTTGAAACTTTACATTAAAAAAATATCTTAAAAATGCATTAAAAAAATAATTTTTTTTATAAAAATATATTATTTCATTCCATGTTATAAATACATTTCAAGATATAATATATAGAAATTATATAATATTTATTCTTTTGATCACACATATATTAATTAATTAATTAATATTATTTAGATTGAACTAAATATTTAGTGGTAGTTACAACTTATTTATAAATAGACAGACAATTTCTAGAATTGAAATTCAATTTTCAAACCTATCACCATATATCTATATATATATATGAAAACATGATAGATATTTCATTTTCAAATTTCTATATTAATATCACCAACCAAATCATATTCTTATTTTTAAAATCTGCGTTTGTTTATCATTTTATTTYATTTTTTCAAATTTTATTTAAAAGATTTTCCATTCCTATTTGATATTTTATTTTCCAACTTTTAGTTAAATTTTGAGAATCTAAATTAAGCTTTTAAAAATATTATCAAAATGTAAAGAGAATATATATATATAATACATAGCATACAAGTGGTTTTCTTTTCATAACTTGAACTCTTAAAAACAGAGAGAGAGAAAAAATCGTTATCAATTAGCAAATATTTAAAATTTGACCAAGTTTGAAACGAATCCGAATTTAAATTTCGTACGATTCTATTTTGATTGATTAGGTTTCATCCTCCATAACAAAACACCACCGGTATTGATGATTGATGATGATCATGATCTCGTCGCTTTTGAGAATGATTACAAAACCAGGATCAGCCAAGCGAATTGATCATCATCCTATTCCTTCCCAGTTGGTGTAAGGGTTCCATTTCAACACCTTGCTTTTGAGTCGATCGCCAAAAATCATGGGCCCGACACCTAATACCTGCGCCCGATGCTGATGCGGACTTCAATATACTTTGCTCTGTTCTTCCAAAATTCCCTTCTCCTTTTCCCAAACTCTTATCTCGATCTCCATTTCTCTCTCTCTCTCTCTCTCTCTCTGATCTTTTCTCCACCGTCGACGCTCTCTGCTGCTTCTTTTGGATTCCTCTCTGTGTTTGAGTTATGGAGTTCTTTCTTGAACTTGCGCTTACCATTAGTCTTCCTCTTCTTATTTCCTTTGTTATTACTAAGCTTTTTTCCAGGGGCTCGACCGACGAGGAATTGGCTCCGTTTGGCTTTGACTTGCAATTTGGATCGCGAATTCATAATCTGGAAAGTGGAAAACCTAGTGTTGTTGTCGAAGATTTTGTCGGTGGCGATGAGATTGTTGAATGTCAACCGAAACAGGGGGATTCCACCGCCATCGTTGAATCAAGAGATGAAACTGAGAGTAAATGCGACGCGGCGGTGATTGACTCTCAGAGGATCGTTGAAAAAAGAGTTGAGAGTGACTACGATAATGGCGACGGTGATTGCGGCGGGGAGGTTGGAGAGAACGCGATCGATGAAAGTTCTGTTAGGGCCAGGTGTGAGGAAACTGGAATCAATCGGGATAAGGAGGATGTCCGCGAAGACTTTGAAGTTGAGGCCGTCGAGAGTGATCGGAGCAAGGTCTCCGGTGAAGTGAACGACGAGGGAAGATCGGCGGAGGAAATTGCCGTGGAGGATGATGATTGGGAGGGAATTGAAAGAACTGAATTGGAGAGGCTATTTGAAGCCACAGTGGAGTGTGTGAAAATTCACGATAGCGAGGATCCTAATTTTGGCAGTGAATTGAAGATGCGGCTGGGCGGGCTTCACAAGATTGCTACGGAGGGGCCTTGCAGAGAACCGCCGCCAATGGCTCTGAAGATCTCTGCTCGAGCTAAATGGTATAGTGAACTCCTCTTTCCTCTGCAATTCAATTGTTTCTTATTATTCATTCTGCTGCCATGCTCTTCCTGCAATTCAATTGTTATTGCTATTGCTATTTTCTGAGAAAAGAAGTTGAATCTCACGAAATTGTTAACCGTGCCGCAATGTCAATAATGTATAAAAAATTTATGGAAATTCAAAACCAGATGAAAAATTGTCTTTATTCCAATGCACATTGCAACTCTAAGATTCTCTCCTCCCTAATATCAATATCATGGAGAAGTAGCCAATGGGTAGAAAACAAACCTTTCAAATTGTCACATTTGAAAATTTTGAAATCTAAGTTTATAATCAAAAGATAAAACGATTTTCATTATGGTTATRAGAAAAGAAGATTCTAAATATTCTATTACTCAGTTACATCTTACGCTCAGCAATCTGATGAATTATTGGCTTCGCTGTTGTTGACTTGTTTCAAAGACTGCAACTCATGAATAGATAATGATTTAGAGTTTGAAACGGAAATGGAAGGGATCAATTTTCACAAATCTACTACTATCTTTTTTCCCATTAAATTTTTTCACATAAATATGGATGTTAATGAGGAAACAAAATCAGGATCTAGTCTTAGTCTAATCCAATGTAACTGTGTTAAGAATAAATTGAAGACATTTAATCCATCTACTCTATCAGCTTAAACTTTTAGGTATGGTACTAATTTAATGAATGGTTTCTATTTGTTAAACTTAACATTTTAGGCTTTTGTTTGCTTTCTTAAATTGGGTACTTTTTTTTTCCCTTCAAGGAATGTCTGGAAGCAGCTGGGGAACATGACCCCTGAGATGGCTATGGAGAGCTATATCAACCTTGTTTCTGAAAACATTCCTGGTTGGAAGCCCAAAACTACTCCAGTAAGTATTTGGTTCTGCCGCGAGCTCGTGGTTTCTTATTGATTTGCCACTTCAAACTCGAGTTTTATTTCTCCTACTGGTTGCAGGTAAATAGCTATCAAGATGCTTCTCGCACTCACGAATTCGAGAAAATAGCTTCCGAAACGAAACCAATTTATTGAAGGGAGAAAAAACACACTCTTGTGATGTCCAATGCTGATTGCTTTTCGTTTGTTGATTCTTCTACTGGAACTGCAACAGCAGGGAGTCTGAATAACTGAAGCCTTCCTTGTGTCAACTGCAGGCGATGCAACTCAGTACTGAGGAAGCTCTATGGTGTCAAAATTCAGTTTGTATATTCGTCCTAAGCTTTGATTTTGTCCAGTTATTTCTTGGCCATTTGGCTCATTTCATTTGGTTGCATTTTGAGAACCTATAACATTATTTTACAATCCGTCCTAGAGTTCTTTTTATTAGCAAATTTGAAGTTATTTATACAAGGTATGAAGCTGTAAATTCAAAATAATTCTTCTACCGTCATAAGTTTGGATTGATATGTTAAAGTACTTTGGAACATTGGTTGAAAGGTACTAGTTGGCAAATGAGCAACAAAATTTGCTCTAACTTGTGTCAATTCACATTCAACCACCAAACTTCTAATTTTAGGCTCTATATTAGCCATGTTTTTGTAAAGATGATTTTCTTTCTTTTGGTATTCTAAATATTAATCAAGTAGTCATGCATCATATATATATATATTTTAGTACACGTATATTATCTTATAGATTATTGGTTTAAATCTTCCCTATTTAATATGTAATATAATCTTCTAAAAAAATTACCTTTACCTAGTACCACCCAATAAGCAAATATTATGAGCTCTTACATGTGAAAAAAAAAGGGTGAGACTTAATATGGGTCTAACATTTTTTTAAGGAAAAAAAATTAGTTTCTAGGGAGTTCAACTTAATCCTAAAATTTTTATTCTAATAAATTTATTTTGAATTTGAATAAATGATCAAATTTAAAATTATGGTAAAATTTTAGAGATTAAGATTATATTTAACCGTTATGTTTGAATATATGTATGTAAAGAAGTATTCAGCTTTAGCAAATTGAATTTAACTAATAATTAATTCATCTTAGATTCGATTTGGATAACATATCAATTAATATATAAATAATCCTTGAGCTGTAAATTTTTTTTATTTATTATAACTCATAGTCTAATAAAAAAATTATAACTGCAACAAAAATATCTTTTATTTATTTATTTTTTACTCGTGTCGGTTGAAATAAGTGTTAATAAAGAAAGTAATAATTTAATAATAATTTTCAAAATATATTTTTATTTTTAAATTATAATTAATACTTCGAACATATTTACAAATAATAAAAATCAACAAGTAAAATTATTTTTAAAATTAGATACCATTTTTTTTTAAATCATACTTTTTTTAACATATTTGTCCTCTTGAGTAGAACTAACACCACCATTTAAACACCATCTTTCACTGGACAATACATATCTTAACCAAATGAGTTTGACTTAAGTTAGTAGCCAAACAAATAAATAAWTAATTAATTTTCTTTTTTTTTAGTAGATTAGATCATGGTTTTAAACAAGTCGACATTTTCATGATGACGGATAAATCGACATTTCCATCGTATTAAAAAAAATCGACGAAATATATAAAATATCAACAATACATATAATATTAATATTAATTATTTTTAACTAATTTAAAAATAGAAAATTATTTATTTTATTAATTTAAATTTTTTTACGATTTTTGTATTTTTCTAATTTTATATAGACATTTAAAATCTTGGATTAGATACATGTAATTTCCTTTGTTGTTTTTTTCTAACGCAAAAGATATATAAACAAAGACGGAGATTGCACGAAAAATTTCCCTCCCTACTCCATAGTCCGTCCTAATTCTAAGCATTGGAAGAGATAAATGAGCAATGTTCATCGTTCCCACTGTGTCTCCTTCCCTTCGATCTCAGAATTCTCTCTCGGAAATGGCCACAGATCTAGGGCTTCTCTGAGAGATTAAAGAGAAAAATGGCGGTGATCATCGAGAATTCAATTTGGGAACCAAATCCGTCGTTGTTCATTTTCATCTTCCTCTCTTGTTTTCTTTCGATCTTTCTTTTACCTTATGCTTCCAAGAATAGCTCCACAAGAGTTCCTGGTCCGCTTGATCATGGATTTTCATCCTCCTTTTCTAGTTTCCAGCGGAAGTTCTTGTTACTTTATTCTCTTGCCTCAGGTTAGTTCCGTGCTTTACTCTGCACACTTTTTTCCCCTGAAATAAATTTACAAGAAAGTGCTCATTCAAGATTAGAGATCACTTAACGAGTCTCTCTCAGGCGATCTTCTCTTTTTAAGGAAATTTCTGCTTAACTGAACTTTTTTTCTAGATTATTTCCCCTCATTTACTGATATTTCTCGTTCACCGAGTTTAGTAAACGTTAATTTTCCCTTCAATTGGAGCGTGTGGATGCTGTTAATCGATTCTCTTAATTTGCTCCTCTTTAATATTACAGTAATGGACGGTTTATGGTCAGTGTATGGTGAATTTGAGTTTACGTATCGTGGAGTTAGCAGAGAGCAGATAGTGTTGTCTCTGTGCGTTGGATATGCAGCTGCTCTTTTCATCGGCACCTTTTTGGGTGTTCTATCCGATTTCATGTAATCACCATTCGCTTCTATCCCGATTTACCTTGTTATTCTGAAATGCCGGTACTCTGTCTTCTTCTACATGCCAATATGCACAGGAAATGGCCGTTTCTGGATCTGTTGAAATGATTTATGGTGAAGGAAATACATTCGTTGTGAACCTCTGGATAGGACAATGTATTTTTTTGGAACAGATATAAAGAAAAGGAGACTGCACTTTAAAAATTTCAACGTTGTTTTTCCAGTAATCATCACTTTCTATCCCGTCAGTTTGATTCCTTGTGCTTTTACTATAGAGTAGAGTATCTCTTCGATGCTTGCTGATCTGATTACAATAAATTTGTTTCTATTGTTATTCTAATAAATGATTTTATTATTATTGTAGAGGTCAAAAGAAAGTCTGTATGATGTTTTGCATTATACACCTTGTTATTGGCATATGGAAGAGGATTACTGTGCATCCAAGTGTCTTTATCGCCAGTATTGGTTTATCCCTTGCTACTTCAATATTTTCATTCGGTTTCGAAACATGGATGGTACTTCAACATGAAAAGGTTTGTTAACGTAGTTTTGCACTTGGATTTGTTCAGGTAATTATCATATATATTTTTTTTTTTGAAACATAGGTAGTTATCATAGTTGGCGTCATACATTTTCATTAACGTCATACTTTTCTATAGGAGTTTTAGCTATTCAATTCAAGAGAAACTAAAGCTGGCTAAAAAACTGAAGACCTTAAAAACCGAACTGACTAGAACAAACTCCCAAATCAATGAAATGAATTGACTCTGTAACAAATTTTTTTTTTTAACTTCAAATTTAAGATTCTTATAACCAAATGAACCAACTTTTCTTAATTGAACTGATTGAACTGATTCAGTTTGACTAGTTTTTTTTTTTTTTTTCTGATCTGTTGATCTTTACTTACGCCCCTACTTGTTTAAGAATTTTTCTTACTTGGTTGAATGGTTCCCTTAGTGATTTGTATTTGAGTCCTTGGAATACCTCGTGAGTATCATGTTTGGAAGGAAGCACTAATTTAGATTCAGTCCCTCATATATTTTTCCCTTTTTGCAGCAAGGTCACAGGCAAGATATGTTAAGTGACACATTTTGGCTAATGACTATATTTGAGTCCATCTCTTTGATTGGAAATCAGATGCTTGTGAATTGGATGGTTGGCGATAATGTTAAGAGGAATATGTTTTCTCCTTCCATTGTATCTGTGTTCTTGGCGTTGATATGCATAACTTTTATCATCAAAGGGTGGACAGAAGTGTCACAAAGAATAGAGCTGGAGGACTATAGAACTTCTTTCAGTTCCTATATTTTTAGTGGTAAGTATAATTTATTCCTTATATTTACATCTTGATTTGTTTTGTTTGACCATGTGGAGTTTTGAGACAGGTCCATTAACGTCATTTATTGTACATCGAATATAATAATTTGCTGACATGTTAACATCATGTGTTGTATATTGAATATAATGATTTTTCTGAACCTCAACCTATCATATACTATCAAATATTTCTGCCATAATTTTGGGGAATTTTTCAGCAAGTCCTTGTGCAAGGTTGAGTCGTATTATTTTATCAAGATATTTGCAATGTTTGTTAAAAAGATATGAATTTTCAAATAATAATCCTTTATCGAGTTATTTGCAGCCATTACTTTTGTTTCCTTCTGCACCCTACTGATGAGAAACCTATTGAAATAAAATACTATATTCAAGAGTATACGTGCTCTCGCCTAGTGCTTATCTATGTCTTAACCAGGTTTAGGTAGATTCTTTTAGACATAAGATATTTTATTCTCATTGCTTATTCTGCATTGAACTGATTAGATGTTTTTATGGTCCAATATAGATCTTCGATGTGTATTTTTCAATTTTGATCTAGGACTTCTTTTCAAGGTTATACTTGCTTCCTATCAAATAATTTGTGATATGTGAAAGAATTAGTTGTGATATGTTCTCAGAATTCATAAACCTTTCATAATTTGCAGATAAAAGGATATGGTTATTGGCATGGGCCCAAGCTTCTATTCACTTCTCTGTTGCATTCTTTTGGATTCTTTGGGCTCCAACATTAGTGGTACATTATTTAAATATTTATTGAGAATTGTGATTATTAGAACATTGAAGTATGTAAATTACTTTGTTAGAGAATTTATAATATTTTAAATTGCATGSCACTGAACAAATCTTTCTTTTGATCTCTCTACATTTGATGTTCTATTTCTAAACTACTAACTAAAACAATTGTACCAGTAACTTCTCAAGAGTATCAGTTTGAAAATATAAGTAATGCTGTTGGATGATTTAGTTAACAGGCATTAATAATTTGAAATCTTGAGTTATTTTATTATTTCTGATCTAGGCTGATGGGCGGGAAGTGCATCTAGGGTTGATATATCCATGCTTGCTGGGATCAAGAATCCTTGGAAGCTCATTGTTTCCATGGCTTATGGGTGGAACATCATCCTTTCGGACCGAAGATTGCTTACTATATTGCTTTATTACAGCAGGGCTTGTGATGTCAATCGTTGCTTTTGATTATCAGGTAGGTTATATTTAACTTGTGCTTTTAGATTTTTGAGAAGTTTGGATGAATAAGGAGCTTGACGTTCTAATGCTTGATCTATTTATCTATATAATGCAGGAGCTTGGAGTTTTAGTGATGCTATTTTCCATATTTCATGTCTGTGTGGGTTTAATTTTACCTTCACTTGCAAGATTAAGGACCATGTAAGTGCTTTCCGTACTATTATGATGGTATCTGCGAAAACCTTAATTAAGGGTACATCAGGTTTTAATTGCTCACGGGGTTTTATTTTATATTTTTTCCTTTCCTTTTCTTTTAGGTATGTGCCAAACAAGTTACGTGGAGGAATGATTAGCTTATCTCTGGCCCCTGCAAATGCGACAATTCTGTTTTTCCTGTTGCAGGTATGTAATTCGACTTTTAAAAGTTGTGGAGCTCGCATTGGTGTTCACAGGAGTTGCCGTGTGCCTCCATCATTCAAAAGCAACTCATTTGGATGAAAAGAATGCATATGTTTTCAATGAAGAATACCCTAATTTCATCACTTTCTAGCAATCTTGAACTATATAAGCAAACAAACTAGGCGTGTTTTGCAATAAGTTAGTTCTGTCGATATCCTTATCTTTGAGACTACACGCAATAATCCTGACGATCAGAACACATTGTTACGGAAATCCATATTACGTGTCATTAGTTATAAGACTCGAGTTTCTAAGGTTTTCTTTCTGAATAGTGTCTTATTGCTGTAGGGAGGCTACTACCGGCGCATTGAAAATTCAGTGATAATAGCATTTGGCGCCCTTGGTCTTTTCACTTCGGCCGGCTGCATGTATGCATTGAAGCGTTGGGGAAAGCATCCATATCAGACATGGCAAAAGCAGTGATTTGTAATCACATTTCAAGCTTTCGTTTGAAGTTGGTAAGTTTCGATTCAAGAGTGCAACTTCTAGTCATATGGTAAAGCTTGCAAGTTCAAGTAATGGTAACTCGATTTGGTTGCAATTCCTTCTGATGAGACGTTAAATCATTGCGAGCACGGGGGACTCTTCACCTAGATTTTTACTGCTATAGATAGGTACAAGTAGCTGCCCCGAAGGTGGACCTTCAAACCTTCAACTCAAGATAGGAATCACAGGATACAAACCTCAAGAACGAATGCATTTTCTTCCTCTGTGAGCTAAAGAGCAATTAAATGGTTAGATGCTCATGCTCAAGATTTTGTAATGTTTTGTAAACTTTGAATGTTCCTTCGGACATTTGTACTTAATTTCGCTCAACTAGCTTTTTTCTTCTCTTTCCATAACAAATGGTTTAGTATTAATAAGATTTTAATAAATATAGTGCTAGTAATTTGCCCCTTTTTATATATATTCATCTACAATTAACAGCAACTACTAAATRGACTTCTCACTATATTCTCCAAATAAGTTAATAATTTATCAATCAACACCAATAAGTAATCGATATGCAAATTATTAGGTTTGAGCATTTCTTTATTATTTTTATTATTAATTTGGACCATGGGCGTGGTAGAGGAAGGGAATCAGACGCTTTATAATGTCAAAACACGTGTCATTATACAGGAATATGATGAGATCGAGATTTCCGAATTATGCATTCTTTTCCGGGTAATAAATTACGCTTAATCGTCCTGTTGTATTTGATCTCTGATCCACTTCGTGGCGACCCATTTCTGCCCTTCAATCACAGGACAGCTTCCATGAAGTGATGTCTACAAAAGCATCCAATAAATGAGATTCTCAGACAAACATCATTCTTTAGTGGAAAACTTCAACCAGAATAGCACAAGCAAGGCCAATACAAAAATGAAAAATAAACCTTTTTCAAGAAAATTAGAATACAGAAACAGTACACCACAAGATATGATTTTGAAGATAATTGTTGTTAACTTTACAGACGTTCATGCTTTCAAATGTAATGAAATGTATTATGTAAAGATTTAAAGTCATGTTTTTCCATTAACTCAATCTTAAAGCAAAAATAGATATTGTAAAATAAACTATATTTATCTAAGGATGATGCACTAGAGTAGTTAACGAAGTCAGAGATCCAGAGATGGTGGGTTTAAACTTGATAGCTATCTAAATGTTGTAGGTTATTGTATAGAATATGTCTAAATGCAATAAACTAACATAGTTTTATATATACATATGATCCGAAATTTACACACTCAAAATACGTCTGAAGCATGTCTATGTCCACCTACAGTCTGCATAAAATAAGGGTCCATATAATTCATAATGTCTGACGTTCCTTGTCCATGGCAAAGTGTATCTAGGTCAGTGAGCAAATATGTCCAAAATAGTAACAACCAAAAGAAAGTGTCAGGATCCTTGTAAGAGTATTAATGGGGACATATTGAGAATGCTATTAGGATATTAGTGGAAAAATTGTAATTACTTGATAGTTTGTTAGGAGGGTGGCTAAAAATAGAGGAAATTAAGGGGTTCAATGGTTAGGCATATCATTAGGGAGTTCGTCCATTGTGGGACTTATGGCAGAGATGGTCCTGTCAAAAGGCTATAGCATTATGTGTTTTCCTTTTCATAATATATTGTATTACAATTTCAGTGTTATTTTCTTCGGATGGGGATCCTAACAATCCTCACCTTCAACTTGATATTAGTTCGTAGTTTTGCTATAGGCTACTGTTCTTTGTAACAAACATGCCCATTCATGGCAGAATCAGGCTCCTACATGGAATTCAATAAGTTCCATGGCTCAAACGAAGTATGTGTATGCCCCCTCTCGTTAACTCAGTGTCCAGCAATATTAAAATTCATACAGTATTCAAATAAAAACTACCATACTCAAGCAACAGAGGATAGGAACAGGAACACTAACCAGATCGATTGTACCATTTGGGAAAACAGAATAAAATAAAAGCCCATCACCTTGGCGTGGCTTCACTTTCAAACCAATACATCTTTGGTAATCATAGCTTCCATCCATATTCGAGCCATTCTGCCAATCAAAAAAGTAAATGCTCCATACGATTGGATGTAAAAGATGTCAAGATAAAGGTCAGCTTGTTCGTATGGTCTTACCTCAAATGGAAACATGGTTTCTCCACCTTCTTGAACATCAGTTAGGTATAACAAGAAGGAAGCCACCTGAATTTGTGGTTGATACAATGTTAGTTAGGTAAGGTAGTACGAATTTTGTTTTTCTTGGTGTTGTGGAGGGGTGTGGGGTTGGGAATCAAGATGTGTTTATGCAATGGAACTCTTAAAAATGCATCATAAAAGATTGAATCTGAAAGTATCTGCTCAATTTATCCAGATAAATCCTCTCTATTCAAGTCATAGGGAGATGACCAATAAAAAAGCAAGTTACAAGTATAACATGTATTTMACAGAATCAACTTTTAGCACTTTCATTATTAGAATTGACATCAAGTTGCATAACAATCACTGGAAGTGACATGCCCTAGCTTATGCTTGCATCTAACCCTTAATGATTTTATAAACCTATGAGTGTGTACATGCAATGAACAAAGGAAAAGCTGATGTGTCTACTTTGTACCCTTTGGCTCTTCTGTGGTCCATATTCAGAAGGATTAAACGCATCATAATGAGAATTATACCTCTGCCCAATCTCATAACGCAAGATATTAAATGCCTGAAACACAAAATCGTTAATCCATTTTAGAATCTCCTCAAAACAAGAAGTTTAATGTACAATTGAAAGACAAGGTGATAGATGAAACACAACCTTTACATTAACTACCCCCCCTCGAAAAAAAAACGAAAGAGAAAGGAACATAGAGATAAATCTTCAAGTGCATCAAGTGGATGGAATACAATGATTAATTATCACATCTATCAGGTTTCTGTCACCTGTTATTATTACGTCCCAAAGAAAAATGTGAGGAGGTAATACTAATCCTCTTTTTGAGTTGTCAAACTTTTATTCTTCAAGAAATGTAAACAAGAAACAAGAAACAAGAAGTTTGAGAAAATTTTAATATCAGCTTAAAATAACCAACAAAATCTAACTAAAAGGGGACACGTAGTAGATTTAGATAAAGCCAATCAATGACTATAAGAAATGAATGGTCAAGATCCCACATCAAGCATTAAACTTTTAGAAGGCCCCAAAGTCCCAAACTACTATAACTGGAGATGGAAAAGAAACAACGAGCAAGTTAGAAAATGACATTAAAGGTAACTAGCTGATGGTTTCATCTTCTCCAAAGAATTGAAAGAGTTCAATCCTTGCCACTCCCTATAAAAATTTTACATCAAAGGTATTCAGGATTGTAGAACAAATGCTTTTGAAAGTTTAAAACTCTTATGCATGATATAACAATAGAATTCCACCTTCAAGAAGCAGGGTGGAAATACTGATGGTCAAAGTGTAAATCTTACTATCATAATACCTCTCCATGCGTCCTTGGAAGCATAGTTGCCCTTGCAATTTTTTTCTCGATGTCATCCAGAGTCCCACTTTTATCTTCTGAAGCACTCAAGAAAACTCCAGAACTGCATGAGACAGGAAACAGGAAAAGAAAGGGAAAATTGAAAATGTAACCAAGCACGTTTACAAAATTATATATTCCTATAACCAGAGTATAACCAAAAACTTAGAAGATCATGCATTCCTTAGCCTTCAATTCATGAAAAATATTAAGTTAAAGTAATAGAAATTGTCCATTTTCTATTAAGTTTTGTAATGGTTGTAATTCGTATAACCATTACAAAACGTAATAGAAAAGTGCAATAGTTGCCAAGAGAATATGAAGTACAAATATTTCTTTAGATATGAAACAATTCATTCATAACATGAAACTACAGAAGAGGATGGAATTGGAAATCCCCTCAACGGAGTTAAGAATGAACTCCAATCAGCAGCTATAGATGAGAGTGAATGACAAAAAGAGTCGAACTGAAAAGGAAGAAGCAAAAACTAAGACATAACCATGTTAATTGAAATCTTACATCTCGGTGGATAAATTTTCAAACCAAATAAGCAAGTCTTTCAGCATAAMTTTATAATTGGAAATAGAGGAAGAAACCTAGGTTAGGGTAGTTCGAAGAAGAGGGTGAGAAAATTAGAAATAAAAACCAAATGTCAATCCCAGAGAACGTGAGAATAACACRTACTAATGCACAAATATTTTATGCAGTCATCCTCATACGGAATCACCATAGTCTGACGACTCTTACTACATTAACTCTATGAATCACCTCATTGAGAATGTCATTAAATTCGTACTAATAAAATATAATCAGTAAAGTCATATGTGGCAGTACATGGAGACAGAAGATACCTTGTCCGGATCCCCTTCGTGTTCTCTTCAGTTTCTCCCTTACGGAGAGCCAAGGTAGACGGTTTAAGGTTCGGTTTCGCCGTATTAACTATGTTTTGGCATTGCTCAGCAGTTGCGAACTTAGGAAAGTAAACTGCGCGTGGTTGCCAACTCAAAACCTACATTTGGGAAAAGTTTAAATTAGAAGTGCAATACTAAAGGTTGAATAGCCAACTGCAAGGTTCGTTCGTCGATCAAGTTATACTTCCCATAAATACATGACAATCCTAATATGAACAACTCAGTTTGAGTGGAAATGCGGTGAAACTACGGCAAAATAAGAATTAAAACCAAATGGAGAGTACCTGAAATGGAATCGAAGAAATGGAATCGTCGCCGCCTTCTCCATATGGCATCGGATCGTAATCGCTACCATCGCTGACCGAATGAAGCATCCTCGGCCTCGGCCTATCGCCATTTACATCCTGTTCATCCATCCGATGACAATGACAAAATTGGGAAATTAAAACAGTGGCATTAATTAAAGCGATGAAATCTAATAGTAAGCAGAAACTTGAAGCACACGGATCAACCTGAGAGAAGAGAGAAGAACCGAAGAATCCAACGAGGAAACAAAATAGGCATACAACGAAGAGGAGCGCCGGCAAACCTAGCTTCGATTTGAAGCTGCAATTACCTTTTCCGATTTTCCCTTTCATCTTCTTTTTCCTTTGATGGAATCACCGATCTCTTCCTTATTTGCTCCTTTTTTCCGGTTTCGGAAGCCTGTGGTCGAGTTTGACTGTTTTTGTGCTTTGACGCTCAGTCAACAATCAGAGGATAAAAACGTCTTTTGCACCATCGAAACCTGCACGACGGGGCGGGAATGCAGTTGCCGCCAGTTCAKGCACCCAAAATGTTTAATTGGCTAAATTAGTGTAGTCTATATATTTCTTTTTTTTTTCGTGATTTGGACCTCAACCTTAACACAAATATACGTATGGTATGAACTATGTTCATGTTCACTGTTACTTAATATTAATAATAGTTGCTTTTAGTTATAAAATCCTAAACTAATTTTGAATTTTAGTTATTAAAAAAAACTAATTTTAAATTTTAAAAACATTCTCTAAACTTTAAATGTAGTATCCAGTAGATTCTTAAAYTTTAAAAATATTGTTAGATTTTTTAACTTTTAATTAAATTAAGTTTGTTTATGAATTTATTAGATATTTAAATTTACAAACATTTAAACACTTATTAAAGTCATGAGTAATAATATGCAAAAGATTAGAGAATATGTTAGCTCATATCTTTTCAAGTCTTTATTTATTAGACATTTCAGTTTTGTGTATATTTTAGAAATTAACACAAAATATTAGAGAATATATTAGCTCCTATCTTTTGCATAATTCAATTATAGCTATGGAACAATTAGAGAAGTTGTCTCAAATGGCTAAACTTTTAGAAAGATTATATAAATAACCTAATATATTTTATTATTTTTAACACTTTTCTTCACATATATATAAATGGCTTAAATATTAATTATTTCAAATATGGTATTTATTAAATTCATCATTAATTACAATTTCAATAATTAATTGATACTTTTTAATTAACTATATTGTGATAATTTCTTACTAAACAAAATTATTATAGTTATAGCCCTTTTTGGAAAGCTATTCAAGAAAACAAGTAGATACATTCACTATCCTTTATTATGTTGTCAAACTATTTACAAAAAGTTGTCTGAAATGATGTTAGGGAATATCATTATCAAATAGATTATTATTATTTAAATTTTTTACCCGTCGAGTGGTAAGATAACAAGTTCAAATCTCCACAATCTTGAAATTAAAAATATGCATATTAAAAAATGATCCAACCATTGAAGAAGCTTAATTAAATCTCCACCCTCATCGATGGTTTGTCAGTGAAAGAGCGACACAGCAAAGAGAAGTCTTATGTTTTAYAAGATTACGAGCATAATTTCCCTTTTGTTTAGCTTCAGTTCAGGTTTCAATCTAAAAAGAAACCTTAATAACATTTACCAATTCTATCCCAAAGATCTTCGCTCCAAAATCATCTCCATTACAATGTTAGRAAAAGTTACACCAAATAATAGTTCCATGCAACTAGTCAGAAAAACGTTCCAAATTACCACACCCCTCAAAATTTGACAACATAAATTTTCCTACTCACCGCCAAAAGAAAARGAGTAAATCTCTATTCAATTTACTTCACCTATTCATCTCTCATACTCATCAAAAATTAATAAAATAAAAAATAAAAACTCAATACTGGACCAGTATTACTGGTTAAGGCTAGTTAGCAAGCAGGGAAGTAGTTTCCCACTAAATCAGGCTAAAAAAAACTACAGTGACAATCAACAAAGTACTTAATCTTAATCCAGCAGGAAAAAAAAAAAAAAAAAGCAAAGACAGGCAATTTGTTAGTAGCACTGCATAACTTTAACAACTACGCAAAAAGCACTTCACTGCCACTAACATACAAAAGCATCTCGCCCTTTTAGAAACTAGTGGCGTGCTTAGACTTTCGACAAAATTTATCAATATGCTAAAAGCCCTGTTGAATAATTAAAGGTACTTCCAAAATTGTACATGATGTTTGGCTATGCTTAAAAATTAAAATACTTCCAAACTGTCGTTTTCAACCATACCATAATACTATTATGGGGATGATTTTACTCACATATCGATCTTTCGCTGTGCTTGGTTTATTCACAACAGGCCAAATTGAAGAACTGACCTTAATTATTGTAGCGCTTTTATCAAGCCTAATAATTGAAGCATCATCGACAACGACAACGAAAAGATCGAGGTTCTTCCTAAATAAGTTTCTTGGACCAATTGAGAATCCTAAAAAGTTGGCCCTTGAAAGTATCCCTCATTCTTTGTTTCCTCGTCCTTGCATCCTCGATATCAAGAGTTCTGTATGCAAGTGCAATTAGATACATTGCAGGATGAAGTCGCCTGCACAGATGATAGAGTGCACAATTTTCAATTTCAAAAAATTACAGCAACGATGAACAACATCAGAATGCAATTGACCAAGAGATTCATCCAGTAGTTACCGCTAACAACTTGAGAGATGGGCTCATGTGCAAGTAATTCATCGTAGTACGTTGGAAAATGTAAGATAAAAGTTCAAACGAAAAGGACTCCCGAAAAATGCAAGAAAACGACATCAAACATGCTAAATAACAAATTTTTGAACCTAACACATTCGTTCCAGAAAAAACTCGAGAGTGTGGAATATGATCTTCGACAAAAATGAAGATAAACTTTTGATTATCCTATCAAGTCCTTCTAAGGGTTTTTGAGGTATAAACTTACTCTTGACAGTGTTCTAAAGCATCAAAGCCATCCCAAAACCTCTGTGATGGGATTGTTCGGCCTTTCTTATTTTTACCAAATGTTTCAACATACCAGCCCCCTATGTCATGCATGCCACAGCGAGGTTCAAACAGCCAAAGCCTATAAGATATAAGAGTTCAAATGTCAACAATAAGAACAGCAATCTTCAAATATGAACAATAAGAACAGCAATCATGAAAAGAGATGGGTGAAGTTGTTAAGATCGGCATTCTAATCTATGAATCTTAATGTCGCATCATGCACAGAAATGGTATGGTGCAAGCTGTTTCTAATCATTTCAATCATATATAACTATTAGGACCATGGAACGAAAAGTGTATGATATTTTCAGTGTTGTGGGGGGTGAGTATGAAATTCCCGAATGATTGAGGTTAAGACCTCTCCTTTTATCCCTAGTTAGCTAGTTACCCCCACCTTCCTATCCCATTCCTCACTCCTTTTATCCCTTTTTCGTTTTCCATCACAACGAGTAAGGCAAAAAGTTTAAATCTCATTTTGGTCCCCTTTAAATTTCAAATTAACTCCATTTTGGTTCCTAAACTTTCAAAATGTCTATTTTAATTCTTAAACTTTAAAAAATAATTGTTTTGGTCCTAAACTTTACTTTGATTTTGATTATAACAAATTAATAACACAACTTCGAGTACGTATGTTAACATATTAGCATGGACATGTATTCAAATTACATAAGTCGAAAACGAACATTGGGTAAGTAAATTTTAGGTGGCAAAATAATAAGAAGGACCAAAATGGTTACTTTTGAAAGTTAAAGGACTAAAATATACCTTTTTTTTTTAATCAAAAGAATCATTTTTTTTTAGTTCAGGAACTAACATAGATGTTTCGAAAGTTCAAAGGTCAAAATGGAACAAAACTTTGTTACCAAAATACGGTTTAAACCTAGGCAAAACAACTGTCCCACATCTCTACATACCTAACAGTTCTAACAATATTTACTTGCTGAGCTAATGCACTTCACTTATACCATATGTAAAATGGATAGATGGCTCACGTTCTAATCAATAACAACCTTGGTTTGCCTGGGAATTTGTCCTTCAAATGACTGGCAAATATACTAGCTTAACTTTCTATTAGAAAAAGGGATTGTTAAACTACAGCACGCCCTCACAACATGGAAACATCTGCATAATGCTCATGGACAAGCATATTTGTTTCCCGGAATCAAGACCACCATAAAGAAAGAGATCTAAGTGACACAAGCACTTGCTAGCCCCTTTTCACCCAGGAAAGGGAGTGAGGGGAAGAAGATTAAAAGTTGTACACGATTCTTGCTATCTTTGTCCTAATTAATACACCCATTCTGTTCTAATCAAACATCCAAAAAGTAGCTAAGCTTTGAGTAACCCAACAGTGACTCCTTTCACTAAGAAGCTAGGCTAAAAACGTTGAAGTATAAATTATGCATCTATATAAGAAGTTACGGAAGTCATGGTTCAGTTATGGAGAGGAGATCGAAGAGAGGATCTCCCTTCAAAAGGTGCTCCACAAAAAATATTTCCTTCCGAGGGGAAAGAAATGGGGAAAAGGTCCAAATCAACGCCACCTAGACCTTAAGTAATAATTTACAAGGACTTCTAACCTGTCATGAACTATAAGTTCCATGCATTGCGTTGTAATTAAAGGCACACTTACTCTTGCTCATAATAATTGACCGCTAAAACTTTTCCCCTTTACAAAGTCATTTAGTTTTTATTGAAAGGTCACCGATGCCATTGCCAATCGTGCCTTTATTTTAGTGTCTCAATCAGAATTAGCCAAGTGAATGAGAACAAGCCCTGATCTCCCTCCTTCGCACAAAGAGTCCCAACCTTGAATTACAGTTTTAAATTCCAAAGTAATACTATCAGTAACTACAATTACATTTAACTAGAAACAAAGAGAGCAACAATTTTTAATTAGCCAACTGCCAGTAGCAGGACCAAGAATTAATAGGATCATAAAACTGGGATACCAATCCATAGAATTCTGGAGATGCAAAACTCACTTGCTTGGTGGTAAGCGTGCTCGACTGCATCTACACTCACAGACAGAAACTTTTTCTCCTGCACTGTACCAGTGCATGTGTTTTACCTATAAAATCAGGAATTGGTATATATAAGTATCAAAGACCTAAATAGACTATTTTGATTATAGAGGATAATCGAGTCTCACATTTAGTTTCCATTGAAACAGCTAGATGTAACCGATCATGCACAAGTCAAGCAGCTTACAACTCTTGGTAAAATGTATTTTTCCACAGTATCATGGTGCCATTGGCATTGTTTACAATTTAGTAGATGGGAGAACACAAAACTCTCTTATATCCTATCCTCCCTTCATTCAACCAAGAAGGGATATGCTCTTGACATGACATTGGCACTTATTTTACTGTATATACAAAAATGCATTTGTACTACAGTATAATCACATAAGTGTATACAAATGCATCCTGCCTAGAATACTATTCCGAAATATAAGGATAATGGAGACAAAGGGAAAAAAAAAAGGAAAAATACTGAGCATGCGCCTGAGGGACCTGTTTTTATTATCAACTTCAATTATGTACTACCATTTCATTCTACAATATATAGTAGTTTTAAAACTTGACGAGTACTTAATACCCACAGAAGTGGTCGGGGGTGTTTTCAACACAACCATTTGGAAGCCCTTACCATTACACCAATCATAGTGGTCATAAAAAATGACTAACATTAATTTACTAACTTCAAGGTSATGCAATCAGAACTATGTAAACATGATCCTTGGCTTCTATAAAATATAAGATATATCAGAAACAGCAAACAAGCAGACAAAATAATGAACAGTAGAAAATGTAACAATTGAAGCAATAATTTATATTGACAAGTGTAAAGTAAATAAATGGACAATGGAAGCTAATAGATTATACAGACCATCAACGTTCTATGTTTCATTATCACGTGCGTTTGTGTGCCACATCTATTGTAGACGGAGCAGGATCCTTCTTCTTCAGATGTACCTAGACCAGTAATAGTACCCAATGGAATCCTTGATTCTAAAATACCCCTCGAAGAGAAATCTGTAGAACATCCATCACTTGTATGCATGGGTACATCATTGGAACTAAGAAAAATATGAATTTGATCTTGATTATCTTTATCCTCCCTGCTCTCACAATGAAACTTTGGAGGAACTCTAAAAGCCGTAGCTATTACCTTTCCACAAATATGCAATTCTAAATCTTTATATGTGTCTGATTCCTGAGGAAGTTCAAATTCTTCCTCTTTAATCAATTTAATGCAGCTACTTGCATTTTCAATGGTTTGAGTAATGTCTAGATACAGAGAAGTTGAAGAAATAGACTTTCCGCTGGTGGCAGAAGGCAATGTAGGGACCTTATCAGCAAAACAGACTTTCCCAAAAAGATCACGCCCTGAAACCAAGTGCAATATCTCAGGAGTTTCATAAGTTGACCTCTCCTCAGCTTCAAAACAGTTGGGAAGAAGTTCCAGAGACTCGATGGTAGGACCATAGAAAGCAATATGCATGGCTGAGTAGAAATCCCTCTCAAGCACATCAAAATAGTCTGTACCAACGACAACTTTCCTTTCTGATAAAATTTCATTAATAAAAAATCTATAGGACTTCAACCATTCAACAACTTCCATCTGCTTGAAGGTCATCTGATCAGATTTATATACATATGGCATTGAGCCATAGCTGCCATGTTTTTTAATTAACTTTCTCTGAGCTATAAGAAAACTGTCGTAATGTGCCCTCTTCTCTGAATCAGAAAGGATCTGCAATCCATCATCGATTATGCTTTGATGTCAGATTATCCTGTATATCACAAAGCAAACAAAAGACTAAACATTACTATTAACCAGTGTTTACACTTGCTATATCTGGGTAGTGAACCTTAGAAGCAGTACCACACTAGAAGAAATACGGCCATCTACAGTGACATTGCACACAAATTATGAAAAGATAAGTGCTTAAACATAACCAGGGTATCATCAGGAAGGTTGTTGCACATGTTAGGGGACTAACTACGAAGCTGTATGAATAAGTCATGCGTTTAAGAAGATGCAACGATGAAACTTAGTTCCCATGCGTGACTCAGGAGAAAATTTGTTCTCCAAAATCCAATATCTAGTCCAACAACCTTTTTTTCCAAAGTACCCTTAAGTTAACTATGACCTTCTATTGCTATTGTCATTGTGAAACATTTCGAACTCATGATTAACTATGACCGTTTTTAGCACTCATTCCAATCTTTGTGAACATAATATTTAGTCTGAAAGCTAATACAGATGGTTATAACACAAGCTACAAGTAAATTACATTTCCATTATCAAAATTCACCTGAGATTCTGAATTACTTAATCTGGCTTTACGTGTTCCAGACTAAGAAGGGAATTACTGGTAGAGTCTATGAGCTATTTATCAAGTGAAAAGAAAAAATTAGAACTAGAGAATTAAGGATACTGTATAAGCACCTYATACGCCGCAAGGATTTGCACAAAACGCCGTGAAGCAGCGGAGTCGTTTCTTGACTCAGCGAGGTCCGGGTGAGTTTCCTTCGCCAATTTGCGAAAAGAAGCTTTGATTTCATCGCTGGAGCTGGTCTCTGAAACTCCTAAAATGTCGTATGCGTTCTCTCCAGACAATTCAGATCGAACTGATTCACTGCCGCAGGTGAACAACTGAATTCCACGACTCGAATAACATGGTATTCGGCGATAAGAGGTTGTGATCATGCCTCGACTTAGTAGAATTGAAACACAATAAATTGCCCGCCGGCGGCAAATTCCCTCGACCGGAGTATATTTCAACTTCATTTTGATTCAAGTGTTGAAACGCGAAAAACGTAATCGCATCGTGAATTGTATATGTGCTTGCAACTGGTGACCCGCGGTGAGGGCGCCGTGGCGCGAATGGAGACACTCCTTCGGGTGAAAATAAAATGGACCGAATCGATTCAACCAAATCGAACCGCATCCTTGCTGTTTTTCCTTTTGCTGATTTTTATTTCTATTTTTATACAATAAATATGAGAATTTAAACTTTCCACTTATTACCACTAAGCAGTTTTTTTATTTAATTTGTAGTATTACATTTTTAAATAGAGGCATTTTAACAAATTAAAAACATTTTTTAATTTTCAATAATAAAAAATAATGTTTTTAGAAATTCTACAAACATGCAAAAAGTATTTAAAATACTTTGGAATAATTTAATTAGTTTAAACTACTTACAAAAAAAAAAGTATATTTAATATTATAAATCCTATTTCTAGGTCGAGAGTTTAATCTTGACCTACATTCAAAACAAATTGAATAAATTTTATCGGGCTAATCTAATTTAATATTATAATAATTTATTGAAAAAATCCTATAAGAATGATAGAGTAATTACTGCCTATCTAAAAATGTTTACTTTATCTATTTATACATGTTTAAAAATAAATGTTCAGATTCAAATGAGYAGTGGCATGCATTCTCAACGATAATATCCTCATTCAAATAAAACAGTCATTTTATTATAACTGATAAATTCTTGTCAGTACAACAAAAACGAGAGTATGATTTTAACGGTTAGAACTTTATTGGCATTGGCATCATAACTAACGAAAATTTCAATTTAAAAATACACGTATCATTACCTAGAACTAAAATAAAGTCTTAACAAGTGGATTGGCCAAATTGCCACCAAATTTAAGAAACATTTTGGTCCATATACTTTCATAAAATAATGATTTACGTATGGCTTCTAATGACATAAATGGTGGGATAGATGATTGAACTTTCCATATATTAAAAAATATGAAAGGTGTCTTGATCCCTGAGTTAATGGGAATATAGAGATTAAAATGTATTTTTTTTAACCTTATTATTTGATGGAAAAAACTTCATCGGGTTCAAAAGGAAGCTCTTCTGAATTCCYGGTAACCCAATAATATATAAACAAATATATTTTTTTTTATCTTACATAATTTTGTGTGATCCAATAATATATAGAATTGGACCACTCGTGAATTCAAGAAGAGCTTCCATCTAATCTTCGGGAGAAGTTTTATCCTTATTTTATCTTATTTTATTTGATTCGTGGCATTATTTTGTTCATATGCAGAAGCAAAAGTTACCTTTTTTTTTCTCTCTCTCGTCACTCTATTTATATAGGATGGGTAATAATAAATGGTATTTATTGCAGTGCCGTCTCAAGAAAAATAAATGTCATATTTTATCTCCTTTAAGAATTTCACAAAATAATGCTGGGTGTTTTGCAGTTTTATTTATGAATTCTTTGAACTTTTTTTTYCCTCAATATGAACATTGCCCGCATCTCCATACGCACTTCTAAAGATAGTTAGAAAAAATTATAACAAATATGGTTATCCTTGAGGCAAACTCTCAATTAGATTGACTGAATTAGTCATGTACTAAAAAAAGAAAAAAAAAGAGAGATTTGTCCAGAAAAGAGAAAAGAGAAAAAAATTTCTCCAATTAAATGGCTGGGAAGTTAGTTTAACTGGACTCTAATTGAGTCATTAGAAAATAGAAGAATCCTGGTAGGTACAACAACAACATGGCTCCATAACATAAAGTTCAACTTCTGTTATTTATACATGAATAATACACTTTGGCCATAAATAAATATCTACTATATTGATGTCTTGAGCTATGTATCATTTATTGTGCACCATCAATTTCTAAATGTCCCGGYAACCTTCCATTTCACTTATTTTAAAGTTAGAAGTTCAAATTATTATATTTATGTTTACTAAAATTGATATTAAATTATGTCTAYCTACGCATATCACAATTATATATCTCAGATAAAAAAAATGGTAAATTTGAATTCTCGACGTGTTGTACTAAATCAGGAAAGGAAAAAAATTGGAGGTTAAAATTAAATTGTAACCATACGTTTGTTGAACTGAACGGAGAGAAAAATATAAAATTCTACAAATTTCATTATTTAATGCAGCARTAAAAATTGTTGGTGGGCCGAAAGTGAAGGTAGGAAGTAGCCCAATGACAGGTGGGAAATTACCTTTTTACTTACTTGGCCTTTACGAAAATAAATATTATATTAATCTATCTTGAAATTACCCTAGTTGTCCTCACAGCGTAAAATTTCCGTTCCTCGATTTATTTCGGCCGGTTGCCCAAATCATACGCATTGCAATCGGAACCAATCATATTTAAAAACTTTGATTTATTTCGGCCGTTTCTCGATTTATCAATGTTGTCATTTACTTATCTTTTAACTTGTTTAACTAATGTAAAATTTTGACCGCTATTGAGAAGTAAATACGATAGAAATAGAGTAGTAAAAAAGAGCAGATTGATTTCAAAATGCAGTGAAATTGATCAACTATAGAACATTGGGAGATGGGGAAGAAATGTGAAAATAGGTGTGGCAGCCATGGAAAATTGAACAATACTGCCAAAAAAAAGAGTCCCAAACAGATGAGATCTCCCAAATTTGGTTGAAAAAATGGGTTGGTCTCTGAGTGTTGGCGTTTCCACTTCAGAAAGCCCCAAAGGCATCGACGTGTAGAGACCAACTCCATCTCCTCTCCTGTCGTCTAACCCTTCGAAGTTCGCAACAAAATCCACATCTCGCTCTTCAAAGGATGCACGTGATCCCGGCCCCAGCTTTTTCCTTTTTATCATTTTCACAAATTCAATTATCATTGAATTTCTTATACTAAATCATTTATTTTAAAATTATTTCCAAACAGACTCTTATTTTCTAATTAAAAAAACTCAACCTACTTAAAAAAAAAACAAAAACAAAAAGGCTAAAACCTAAAATATCTATAAGAATTATAGATTAATTTTTGTCACGTTTGCTTTTAATAATAAGAGGACCGAATTTCGACTACAAATTAAGGCAATATAGCACCCACTAAAACTAATCAACGGCGTCTTAAACCGCTATCGAAGAAGATGATTAAGATGAGTAGGTGACTGTCGCTACGGAACAGCAATTTATATATTCATAAATATAATACTGAAAATGAGGTGGAAATTTGGCAGCTTATTTGGGAGTAGAAAAAATCAGATAGCTTTAGCAGTGTTCAAGTCTCACCAACCAACTCGTAACACCATCCCTCGCTACCAGACATACCTGACACATGCCCGTGAACCAGCCACGCTTAAACATATATCACCAGTAATTCCACCATTTTTTATTCCCAGTTTCAACTTTTAATAATAATATAACTCAAATTTTAAAATTTGATTTCTGAAATACTAATACAAATATGGTATTATTAACACAAAGTATACTCAAACGTCTTTTGAGTCCCAATAAAAAAATACCAATAAAAAGTAATTAAAATTCCAATGTTTAGGTCAGCAAAAATCCAAACTAATTCACTTTTGAATTCAAGTTGAGACTCGCACATACCTATAAATCAATTTACCTTAAATATTTATAGGTTGTAAATAATCAGATGTTGATCGTCCGTGATATCATCTTCAAAAATCATGGAGTGGAAAGCTGAACTTGGGAGGTGGGTGGCTAGAGTGCAGCGTCTTCGAACTCTTATGCTTCCAACACAACAATATATTGTTTGAACCTCCCTGGAGATTAGCTCTGAATGCACGACATGTGTTGGTGAACTTCCGACCAACTAACAACTTATATTTCTTAAATATTGGAGGTTCGTCAAATCTCTCCTCTCTTATTTTATCAATGACGATTTATACTATGTGTTTAAAATTTTTTAATTATGATTATATATAGTCTTTTTAATAAACAAATTAGCTAACGTTTTCATTGAACAAACTTTGATTCATTTGATACTGCATGACAAACAAATGGTTGAAATAAGAACTACTAAACGGTTGGATTTAATAATATGACATATGCAGTATACTCCTCTTAGAGCAAACACATTAATTATTTTTGATAGACTTGTCACACTAAGTTTGTCCATCTTTCCATTTCAATCGTAGAAAATTAGAGTTAATATTTGTTTAATAAACAAACACATCACATCATCCGTATTTTGACAATGATATCGCCCCAGAGCACTTGAGCATATGAAAAAAAAAAGATGAATTAAAATTCTAGAGACTTTTTAATAAGTGAGATTTCGTTTTCTATCATAATTTCGTTGATAACACTTTCCACCTTTGTTTAGTGCGCAAATTTTGAAAGTGAAAACAAATTTTTTTATTTTTAAAATTAACTTAAATTTAAAAAAACTGACAGAAGAAAACAAACTTAATTTAAAAAAACAGGCCATCAGAAACGAAACATCATAGTTATCTCTAGGGAATCAGATGGTTGTGATGAAAGGTGGGCAAACGGTAAAAACAAAAAATTGTAATTTAATAATATTAGCTCTTGGGTTTGTGGAGTTTTCTTGGGCAGAGAGAAAAAAAAGATAAGAAAAGAAAGTAATAAGAAATATGTTAATTAGTATTTGTATTTAGTAGGAGAAAGGGCGAGGGAAAGAGAGAGAGAAGAGAAAAAGCGGTTGTACACGTGATGGAAGAAAGGAGTAACTCCTCCAGTAGCAGAAGCAGTACCCCTTCCACGTTCCTTCAGAGCTGTCGCTAGGTCCTCTCCCGTTTTTGGCTTCACGCAATTATTCGCTCAACAACGCAACTACCCCACCCCCCACTCTCCGTTTTCAGTTCCCATTATTTCACTCCTCACTCCATTTTCTGACTCCTCCCAGGGAGAGAACTTTCTCAAAATGATCGCAATGGCGAAGCCGCTTTGGATCTTTGTGATTTTCTGTTTCTTCTATGGGCGGCTTTCCATGGCTGCTGCTGAGAAGAAGACTTACATAGTGCATGTGGCCAAGTACCGGATGCCGGACGCTTTCGACCACCACTTGCACTGGTACGACTCCTCGCTCAAGTCCGTCTCCGACACGGCGGAGATGATCTACGCTTACAACAACGTCGTTCATGGATTTTCCACCAGATTGACGCCGGAAGAAGCACGGCGGCTCGAGAGCCGACCGGAGATTCTAGCGGTCGTGCCTGAGATGAGATATGAACTTCATACCACTCGCACTCCTCAGTTTCTTGGACTTGACAAGAATGCA